CTTGGTGTGGGGGTAAAGTATTTGCAGGGTTTGTGCATTTTCTGTTGCTATGCAGTAAAGGTAGGCTCGCCTGTGACTTCAACAGAAACGTGCCAGTCCTGACATGCTTCCTGTTGCCATGGTTTTGCTGTGCTCTCCTGCAGGCCCGGCATCGTCGTCACGACAACGCCACTGAAGAAGAGCTTCCTCGGCGAACTGCTGCGCAACAAAGAGGGCGTCACCGTCACCTCTCCGCTGGAGTTTGGCACGGTGGAGCTGGGACGTACGGTGTACCTGACCGCCTGGATACAGTGAGTCATCGACTGACATGTGACAGACATGATGTGCGATATACAGTCAAACCTCGGTTATCCGAATTTCGGATTATCCGAACAAGATCTGAAGGTCCCGTGAATAATATACCCTTTATTTACGATCAGATCAGTTATCCGAACAAAATACTCCCCGCCCGTCTCGTTTGGATAATCGAGGTTTAACTGTAGCTTCTTTCTTCTGGGAGGAGTAGTCCTTTCTATGAGCAGATATCAACATCCCTAATACACAGCATTATTGTGCACAAGATCAAATTCCCGCGGCGCACGGTGTACGGGACCGCCTGGATACAGCGAGTCATCGTCGTGTGAGGCTGACGTGTGCGATATAGCTTAACTCCTTCTTCTGGGAGGAGTAGTCAATTCTACAGTACACAATCTATTATCCGAAACCCTTGGGACCAGACACGTTTCGGAATTTGGAGTTTTTTTTGGATTTCGGAATGGTAGAACAGTACAGATATACATACTGTATATCCTGCAACTAGCCAGTACTAAAACCCAATTTTTCAAGAGGCCAAGTGCTGTACTGGTACAGTGCAATATGTATGAGTAATGTCAATATATTACACATTTAATATGATAGACACATATATGATGACACATATAGATATGAGTTGGATGCATCCTGGAGGAAAAGTCCGATATGTTACGCCGGGGACGAACTGCTGCTTACTTGTTTGTGTTTTCGTTTAGAAACGAGGGCAGCACCGAGCAGATGCTGCTGAGGTGTCGTGTGACAACAACTCTCACACAGCTCACCATCGACTCACCAAAGATAATCAGCACTGATCCAAAACAGGTGAGTGACTGAGCATCGGCGGCCATATTGTACCCGATAAATCTCTGGTTGTCATTATCGTCGTCTGATCTCGATTTTGCACGAGACGTAATAATCGCAAATGTTGCCCTAGTTGGAGTAAAAACCCTTCGTTTGCTCGCGTGCAATCACGTGATGTGATTAGTAGGTAGATAATGGGTAGATTTCTTGTGAAATAATTATTAGAATGTAATTAGTAATTCATTAATTTTTAACTATTTAATGCAACAAACTAATAATTTTAACAAAATTCCACTAATTTATGAATCTATTTATTATTTTTATTCTTTATTTGTTATCTGTTTTAAGATAGATACTTTTGATAACATAATTAGGTGGAGGTATTGGCGCAGGAGGATGGGATCGCATTGTTGCCTGGTGGCATCTGCTATGTGAATATCATCTGCCACGCGACAGACGTCGGCACGGCAACGCAGACGCTACTGTTTGAGTTTGACGGCTTCAAGATCGGTCGGCGCGTGGGCGTCACCGTGCGCGACCCGTCTGAGTCACTCCTCGCGCCGCAGCCACGCGCGGACAGGGGGCGCCGGGAGCGCGCGCGCGACGCTCAGCAGCGATTCGACGAGAAACACGGCGGCTGGGTCGTGCCAGGACAGCGCCCCCTACCGGCGAAGGCCCGTCCGTTCCTCGCCCGCCTCGGTCGCTGGCCCGTCCCCGGCGACCTCCGCCAGGGGGCGCTGCGCGGGGAGGACCCGGCGACGCAGCGTTCGTGCCTGCGCGCGCCGCTTGCGCTCCGTAACTTCGGCGACCGCTTCCACGCGCTGCTGCACGTCGAGGAGATCGTCTCCGAGATGGAGATGCGCGAGAACGACCTGCGCGACGCGACGATGACGCGTCACCATGACAACGACACGCTCGCGCTCGCCGTTCCCGGCCTCGCCGAGGGACGCCCCTCGCTGATGCTCGGCGACAAGGCGCTCGTCACAGAGGGCGCCGCCGGAGCGGCGGCGCCGGCGTACGAGGGGTACGTGCACGCGGTGCGGCAGGAGGAGGTGCTGCTGGCGTTCCACCCGAGCTTCCAGCGTGAGTACGCGGGCGGGGCCGTCGACGTCGCGTTCGTCTGCAGCCGCGCGCAGACGCAGCGCCACCACGAGGCCGTCGCGAGGGCGCCGCTGGTCGGCGCCGCCGTACTGTTTCCCCAGCGGCTCACGGTCAGCATGCCGCTGTACGTGCCTCCGCCGCCGCCGCCGCCGGTACGCTGCAGACGTGCCGCACCCAGGGTGCGCCGCGCAGAGGCGGGGTTGTCACCAGGGATGGACGACGGGAGAACGAAGGTCATGGGGTCACCTCCAGGCATCATGGCGGACGGGAGGACGAAGGTCATGGGGTCACCTCCAGGCATCATGGCGGACGGGAGGACGAAGGTCATGGGGTCACCTTCAGGCATCATGGCCGACGGGAGGACGAAGGTCATGGGTCCAGGCACGGCCGATGGCCAGGCAGAGGTCACATGGTCACCGCCGGGCCCAGTCGCCCCAGCAGTACCGGATGCAACAACAGCGCCACATAGTTTCGAGTTCTTCAACGCGGCGCTGAATAGTCGTCAGAGATCGGCGGTGGTGCGCATGCTTGGTGCACAGAGTCGGCCAACACCCTACGTGCTGTTCGGGCCTCCAGGTTAGTAATCACCATTACTGACGCCAGCCGAGACAACTGAAATGCCAGACCTTGTTTGTTTAATGTCATGGAGAAACTAAAGATGGGGAAGTCACCCGCTCGCTATGCTTACTACAAACTAAAAAATAGAAAATTTTCAAAAGGCAATTAGGCAAAAGGTATTTAGGCAAAGTCTAAAATTCTGGTTGACTAAGGTTACGGTTTTATAGGTAGGTAAGTAACATAGTCCCTCGGCCTAGTTGCTGCAGTTCGCGAGTAAATCCGATTTTGGCAGTTTGCTACTCAGTGCCACTGCCTCTCCTCTCTTTCTCTCTCCCTCTCTCCCCTCTACTTCTCCCCATCTCTCTCTTTCTCACTCCCACCCCTTTCTCTGACCCTGCTTCCCACCCTCCCTTTCTATACCTCTGTCCCCCCCCTCTCCATAATGACTGACTAGGTTTGTGGTACATTTCAGGCCTCGGGCAATAGCCTTAGCACTCAGCAAATAGAGATAGAGCGTGGAAAGTTGGCTCACAGTGCTACCAGTGGACTAACCCGGGCCCCCGCTGTAGTATTTACTGTTGATTAAAGCAGCTGCGTGGCCCAGGGTTAAGGAAACGGAGATAGGCACCACCCTATGCCCCACATAGGAGCAGGACGGATTTAACTTTAACGAACAGGCGATAGTTACCTCCGTATACAGGCGATATACAGGCCTGTGTACCTTCGTATACAGGCGATAGTTACCCGTGCGTGCGTCTATGTTTCTAGGTACTGGGAAGACCATCACCATCGTCGAGGCCATGCTACAGGTGTTGTCACGGTTACCGTCCACCCGCATCCTCGTCTGCACTCCCTCCAACAGTGCTGCTGACCTTATAGTAAGCATACAGTCGCTCGGTGGCTGTAGTAACGTACCGTTATGTACACCACATACAGGGGTCGAAATTAGCGGTATCCCAATATCCGCGGGATAGTAGATTCTTGTGTTGGATACCAGATTTCAATGCTTTGGTATCTCGCCGGGATAGTATAAAAAATTCGTCAAAATCGGGATAGTGGTTGTTGAGTTATCAACTTTATATGGCAGCGCATCTGAGCGAGTGCGCGTAGAGCGAGTGCGCGCGATCTGATAATAAATGTGATGTGTATACATTGTATCAAGCGAACCAGACAATGCGTCTGCAGTGTACTTGTCTGTGCATATCTGTGAATCTGTTTTCATGTCTTTATATAATAGTTACATTACATATTAATAATTTTCAAATGCTATTATTGCATATTTAAAGATTTTGGATACCAACATTGTTTAAATTACTATCCAAAAAATGGGATACCAGATCTTTGGGGGGGATACCAGATTTCAATACCTGGTATCCCGAATGGATACCATAATAAAAATCTAATTTCGACCCCTGACGTATATATTATTTCCTATTCTAGGTTTTGTACGGACTACATATATATATAGACAGTCAAACCTGTGTCAGCAGACACTTGTATAGAACAGATGTACCTGTATATAAAGAACACTTTTGGTGTTCCCTTTGAATAGCATCACGGGTTAGCAGGAGTAATTCAGTTTCTGATCGTTGGTTTCTATGTACTTAAGCTTGATACATGTACAATATATTTACATATTATTTCTATATTATTAAGTAATTCGATTTATTTAAAATATGCATTTTCATGAATATTTTTCAGCATTTTAGCTTGATAACATTGAAGACTAGGGTTGCAACAGGCAGTCAATAGTGTATGTAATATACGATGGAGGATATTTTGGGAATCGGTAAACAAATGAAGTCCCTATCAAGTGTGGCAGCACTTAGTGGCAATTAATTTATCGAAAATTCGGTGATGGTATCATTGCAGCAACTCAACAGCTAGAGTTCTTGCATGTGCAGAGTGTAAGTACGTTGTTCGTGTTGAGTGCAGACCTGTCATTCTTACAAGCTGGTGTGTCTGTGCCTAGGTACAACGATTGCATGAGAGTGGACGCGTGACGACAGCTGACATGGTCAGATACATGGCATTCCAACGTTCGGACGAGGTGAGGCGCTACACCTTGTGTAGTTCTAGAATTTAGAGCTACGTCTCCAGCTGATGCGTGAAACCCTGCAGGCAGGCGCTAGACTGACTAGAGTCACTCTAACGTGTAAACGAATGCAGTGCACAGACGAGAGAGCTGTAATGATTCGGTGTGAGCGTTGTATACGTGTGGTTGGTACATCACGCGTTTCTCTTGCGTCACTAAATTGCTGTGCCGTGTTGTATCGCGCATCTCGTGTGTGTGTGTCGTATTGGCCACACGAGCAAATCTTCGTGTAAGTGACGTCATGTATGTTGAGACGATTATGTTGTTCGGATGTGTTTGAACCTTTCAAACTATTCGAAATAAAAAGCAACTACTGTTGATTTTGCCGGCATTTGTTTATGTGTTTGACATAGCAACATGACAAGTAGCACTGGCAGTCGGTTGCTCATCCAATAGACAGGCATTCCTCGAGCTTCCCTGTGTGGGGCTCCCTTTTGTTAGTCAATGACAGGAAACCACCCTAACACCCAGCTCCCAACGAATTACCCCGAGCCGTCCCTGTATGAGTTTCGTCGCTCTGTTGTTCCTTCGATCCATCGATCGCGCTGCTTGCCGTTGCAGACGGTACCGGACGACGTTCGCGATTACTGCGTGCGCTGCGACGACGACGCCCTGACGTGCGCCGTGCGTCGCCGCCTGGTGGTGAGCACGTGCGGCTCGTGCGGCACGCTCGCCGCTCTGGGACTCCCGCCCGACCACTTCACACATGTGTTTGTAGACGAGGCGGGACAGGCCACCGAACCAGAGACCCTTATACCCATTGCGATGGCGGCTCCGGCCGGAGGTCAGGTAGGTGGCGCCTTAGTAGCCTCTTAGTCGACTGACCATCTTATCTCCTATCTAACCAGACACTCGTCTATATCCAGTGCCAGTACCATAGTACAGTACCATAGAATATACTATAGTATAGAATAGCACCAAGTGCAGTACTATATACACCGACAAGTACGAGAACATAACATACGTAATGATGTAACGATAATATAATATAATATATATAAATAACGAACATAATACACAACGGACACAACACTGAGTACGGCTGTCTGCCACCAGGTGGTGCTGTCCGGCGATCCCATGCAGCTGGGGCCGGTGCTTCGTTCGCCGTTCGCGAAGACATACGGCCTCGAGACGTCGCTGCTCGAGCGGCTATGCCAGCGCCCCCTGTACTGTCGAGACGAGAGCCGGTTTGCCAACCACGGATCGTACGACCCCCTGCTGGTGAGTGGTCGAGGCGGAGGCGTTGTGCGCAGGCCTTGGTTAGCAAAACCTGGAATCTCCTGGAATTCCATTTTCCAGGTTTAGAATGTCCAGGAGTATAGGCTGCAGTCCTGGAAAATCCTGTTTTTATTTTTCGCTCATTAAAAGTCATTGAAATGAGCCACATATCTGTCTTGTCTATGATACAAGAAAATTTGCTATTGCTTTTTTTGGCTATTCACTGATCGAGCAATACGAAAGCTAAAGCTTGTATTCAGGTAATATTATGTTGTCATGCAGTAGTTCTGTAAAATACAAGAAAAGATCTGAAAAATTCTGGGAAAATCGTTTTTCCATACAAGTTTATGAATCATGATGTTGTTAACGTCTCAGCCTAATGACCGCATCATTATTATAATATTTAATTATTAGCTCATCTGACATAGTCAGATGCAGCTTGTAGAATCGCATGAGCGTGCGTGCGTCCGTGCGTGCGTCCGTCTGTCAACAGTTGGGCACAAATCTAAACGGCTCGACGTACGGTCACGATATTCAGGACGTAGGGGGGTAATTCGAAAACGAGTTGGGATGTCGAAGCTGGGGGTCAAAGGTCAAAGGTCAAGAGGTGTAAAAGAAGGGGGAACATTCCCACCCTTACCTTAAGGTCTACGGGCAGGAAATGCTAGAACTTCGGTCACCAATAATAACGCCGACCTAGGCCCGTGATACCGTCGGGTTGTATTAGTCATCATTGGTAGGAAAAGCCATCACTCGTGCTGAAATTGGAGGTCACGTCCACAGGTCAATGGGCACAGGCAGATTTTCGACATTTTCTGGATGGACATGGTGTGACGGAGCGATTGAAACACTTTTTTGTTTCCAGCGGTGACCTACGCATTTTCTATGGCTTTATTGAACAGGACCTGATGAAAATGTGCTTTCCACTGACGGTGCGAGAGACGTACAGTGTCCTGATAAGACTTCTTTTGACATCTCAAGAGGTGGGTCTTAATCATGGATTTGTTTACTGTTAGATACGAAGTTTGACTGCCGGGTTTGCTAATAACATCTATACATGCCTGATGTATGGCTACAGATGTCAGCAAGCTGAAATTTCAAAAAGCCTAAATTGATTGAAGAAGGTTTATGGCTCTTTAAATCGTCAATAATTTCTATGGCGGGCCCATTCTGGTACTGTCAGGGTGTACTGTAACTTGAATTATGCCACTGCTCCATTTGGCCACTCGCCAAGTCGCATGTGGCGGGTGATAGTATGGTGTAGTTTTTGCCTGGCGTTAATTAGTTTACAGGTGGCAGCTCTCTATTTCGCAGCCTGAGGCTTCGCCGTAGGTAAATGCGACTGAGTGCTTACCTATTCTGTCTTGCAAAGTAGTTTGTTGCTATAGCCTGATGTACGCATGAAGGCTTTCCAGCTTCCATGCTTTAATCTTAAGAAACATTTAAACATACGTCGCCATCTCGTGCAACTTTCATATACGATCGCCAACGAACATTCTTTTGAGAGTTCCTGATACCCATCCGACGTGTTCGAAATAAGGGGCTCATCCGTATGTCCGTACTTGTCCTTCCCGGAGGACAAGTAATCTGTCAGGTCAGCTTGTCCGCACGACAACAGAGCTTTCTTAGAGCAAATATTTCCTATGAACTTTTCTACCTGCTGCCGCTGGCTGGAAACCCGAGTATACACATAGTATAAACATGGGCTGCCGGAGTACGCACCGCCAAATTAGCATATATATTACAATCATTTATGGAAGTTATATAATAACGCTTACCCCCGCCGGCCGGTGATGCTAGGCTCCACGAACACGGTCTTGCTAGGTTAGCACCAAAGACCCTCCAGAACAATCAGTCTTGATAGACACATCAGACATCTGTATATGACAACGCCGGCGCATGAACAGCTCGCACAGCCGCGTCCGGGCCACGCGCTAACCGCCTCAGGAAAGAGAAGAAAGTGGAGAGACGGAGAGAGGAGCGCCCTGCCGAGAGTGAGAGAGAGAGGAGAGCCGAGAGAGAGGAAGAGAGAGCGTAGAGAGAAGAGAGAGAGAGAGAGAGATGAGAGTGAGAGAGAGCGAGAGAGAAGAGAGAGAGGACAGAGAGACGTGAAGACAGTAGCGACGAGCGGACGGAGAGAGAGAGCTGCGCCGAAAAGATGAGAGAGAAAGAGAGAGAGAGAGAGAGAGAGAGAAAGAGAGCGAGAGAGAGAGTGTGATCGAGCGACGAGAGAGCACGGGAGCGAGAGAGCGGTGAAGGAAGAGCCGAGCAGCGGAGAGAGACGAGCAGAGAGAGAGAGGAGAGAGAGAGACGAGAGCAAGCGAGAGAGAGACGCGGAGCAGAGGGAGAGAGAGACGCGCCGAAGTGAAGAGAGCGCAAAGAGCGACGCACGAGCGAATCGAAGAAAAAATGACAGACAACGAGGAGAGCGATACGCGGCGACTTGTGGTGTGCTCTTTGATTCATTTGCCCCCGAGAAATTTAGCATCAGAACACCTGCCGTCAGGTGAGCGCTGTCACTCTGCGGCACTTGTTATTATATTATTATGACTGTATCAGGAGTGTATCAATACCTCCTGACAGTATTACAGGTGACAACTATTATACTATACTACAGGTACATTACTAATGACCGCATCATTGCCTCACAGTCGACAACTAATTATACCGACCAGCTTAGAACGAGCGTTGGACACAGACGGTATTTACTAATGACGCGCATCATTGCTCACAGGTGACAACTATATACTATACTACAGGTACAGGTATTACTAATGACCGCATCATTGCTCACAGGTGACAACTATTATACTATACTACAGGTACAGGTATTACTAATGACCGCATCATTGCTCACAGGTGACAACTATTATACCTATACTACAGGGTACGGTATTACTAATGACCGCATCATTGCTCTACAGGTGCCAACTATTACTACCAAATACCTACAAGGTACATTGTCATTACTAATGACCGCATCATTGCTCACAAGCGTGACACACCTATTACAGCTATACCTCAGGTACAAGGTATCCTACAATGACCGCATCATTGCTCACAGTGACAAACCTTTATACCATACTACAGGTACCACGGTGTCTACTAATGACCGCAATCATTGCTCACCGTGACAACCTACTAAGGCCATACTATCAGTAACACCGGTGGTTACTATGACGCGCTATCATTGGCTCAACAGGTACAACTATTATACTATACCTGACTAGGTAGCACGGTCTATTACAAAGGACCGCAATCATTGCTCACAGGTGACAAACTATTATACTATACTACCGTACAAGGTTAATTACTAATGACGGCGCATCATTGCTCCAGCAAGTGACAACTATTATAACTATTACTACAGGTACAGGTATTACTAATGTACCGCGATCACTTGCTACAGCCCAGGTGACAAACTATTATAGCTATCTACAGGTACAGGATTACCTCAATGACCGCATCGATTGCTCACCAGGTGACAACTAATACAACGTACCAGGTACCGAGGTAAATGACTAATCGACCGCCTCATTGTCACATAGGACAACTATTATACTATACTACAGTACAGTATTACTCCCATAGCACTCCTCATTGCTCCACAGGTGACAACATTATATCTATAATGCTACCGGTCAGGTGTTCACTAAATAACCGCAATCATTGCTCACAGGTGACAAAGCTGTGACACTCTACCGCTCACACCGTGCGTCTTGCTGCCACTCTGCCCTCCGTCGTCTCTACTACAAGAGACAATTGAACTCGTCTGCCTGCGATGACCCATGCAATGGCAGACAGCATTGCACTGGCACCCTCGCTGCCAACAAGCAACCCGTTTTCCACTAGCTCTGGTCATGGAGGCTGCGGGTACGGTGCGCTCTCTCGTGGAAATATGTGAGAGGGAGCGAGATGGAATCAGGAGAGAGAGAGGGAACGAGAGAAGGAGAGAGAGAGAGGAGAGAGCGAGCGACAGAGACCCAGGGAGAGAGAGAGAAGAGAGAACAGAAGGGCGAGAGAGAAAGCCGAAGAGAGGGCAGCCAGGCAAGACGAGATGAACAGACATCATGAAATAGACAGGCAAGAGCCAGCCATACGCAGAGCGAGAGAGCGCGGCGGGACAGCAGATAAGAGAGAGACGAGAGAGACCAATCAGACGACAGACAGCTGGAGAGACTAGAGTGAGAGACCAGCCAGCAAGAGATCCCAGAGACAACATGGACAGCAAAACAGACAGAACGAGAAGAGAGAGAGAGAGAGAGAGAGAGAGAGAGAGGGCAGGCAAGAAGATAGAGAGAGTCAAACAAAGATAGTGTGTGAGTGAGAGAGAGAGAGAGACAAGCAAGCCTGGAAAGTGTGAGAGAGAGAAACGCCAAGCCCTGAAAGTGTGAGAGCGAGCAAGCATGCCTGGGAAATGTGTGAGAGAGAGAAAGCGAGAGAGAGAGAGACAGAGAGCCAGAGAGAGAGAGGGGGGGGCAGGCAAGAAATAAGAGAGTCAAACAAAGCACTAGTGTGTGAGTCGAGAGAGAGAGAAGCGATAGAGGCAAGCATAGAAAGTGGTGAGAGAGAGAGCCGGGGGAGAAGAGCAGAGCGATGAGCGAGAGAAGAGAGAGATCGAGAGAGCAGAAGAGAGAGGAGAGAGTGCTGAGACGGAGAGAGAAGACCGCTGACGAGAGAGAGAGAGAGCGCTCCCGCGAGAGAGAGGAGAGAGAGCAGAGAGAGAGATCGAGAAGAGAGGAGGACCGAGAGACGCCAGAGACGACAGACGAGAGAGTGAGAGAGCGAGAGACAGAAGAGAGAGAAGAGAGAGAGAGAGAGAAACCCCGCATCCAGTCATATGCCCTATGGCCTCACGATGACTATAGCAGCATGTTGATGTGACTTGCAGGGTCAGGACCTGCGTGAGGGTAAACAGCCCGTCGTCGGTCCCGTCGAGGGCGGTGCACGCGCAAATCCAACGGTATCCTGCAGGCGCTGACAACGCCACACCGCTCCGGTGCGTGCAGATCAGATAGGCGTCATCACACCATACAGGAAGCAGGTGAGATGTGGCCGCATAGGGTGGAGAGAGATGGGAGCGAGTAGAGGACGAGGAACGAGTGTTAGAGACAGGAGAGAGAGAGAGAGAGATCGAGAAAGCAGCGACGAGAGCAGAAGAGAGAGGAGAGAGAGCGAGAAGCGAGAGAGAGAGAGAGAGAGAGAGGGCGAGAGGAGAAGCAGCGAGAAAGAGAGAGAGACGAGAGAGACAGAGAGAGAGAAGAGTAGAGAGAGAGAGACGAGAGAGAGATAGAGAAGAGTCTGCGAGAGAGACGAGAGAGCGAGAGCGAGAGAGAGAGAAGCTAGAGAGAAGAGACGAGAGCTAGAGAGAGAGCAGAGAGAGAGCAATAGAGAGAGAGAAGACGAGAGAGCAGAGAGAGAGAGAGAGAGAGAGAGACGAGAGTGAGAGAGAGAGAGAGAGAGAGAGAGAGGCAGAGAGAGCCGAGAGATCAGAGAGCGATAGAAGAGAGCAGAGACGAGCGAAGAGAGAGAGAGATGCGAGACGAGAGAGAGCAGAGAAGAGAGAAAGAGAGAGAGAGGGAGGAGGACACGAGTGCGTGAGAGAGAGAGAAGAACGAGAGAGAGAGATGAGAGAGACGGAATAGAGAGAAAGACGAAGAGCGGAGAGAGCGACGAGAGAGAGCGAGCGAGCAGAGAGAGAGAGAGAGCACGAGAGAGAGAGACGCGAGGGAGAAGATAGAGTATTGCTACGTGCGTGCGTGCGTGCGTGCGTGCGTGCATTCGTGCGTGCATGCGTGTGAGCAAGAGAGCGAAAGAGAGAGAGTGCGTGTGTGTGTGTATGTGAACGAGAGATAGAAAGAGAGTGCGCGTGCGCGCGTGCATGCGTGTGTGAAAGAGGGGGAGAGAAAGAGAAAGTGTGTTTGTGTGTGACACAGAGAGTGTGCAAGAGGATAAAAGAGCACGCAAGAAAGAAAGGGGCAGAGAGAGTGAGAACGAGAGAGAGAGAGAGAGAGAGAGAGAGAGAGAGAGAGAGAGAGAGAGAGGGAGCGAGAGAGTGAGAGATAGAGTAGAGAGGAGGACAAGTTATGAACATAAAGCAAATATAAGAGAGGGAAACCTTGCGATGATATTATCTACTGTTCTTATTAGGTGGAAAAGATTCGATTGCTCATGAACAGCTTCAACCTTGAGGGTGTCAAGGTCGGCTCGGTCGAGGAGTTCCAAGGTCAAGAGCGACTGGTCGTCATTCTATCAACAGTGAGTGCTAGCATTGTGTCGCCATCTAGTGACAGTCTACAAACTTAACCTTTATTTGCATGGTAATCATTTGTTTGACTAACGTCATCTGATATTTTGTGTGCAACTTAGGCAATACATATAGGGATGATTCAATCTTAATCAGTCCTACAATATCTGAGTAATAAATGAAAAAAACTACTGTATATACACCATATTTTTCGCGTACAGATATTTTTGCGAATTCATACTTGACGGACAATTTCGCGAGTGGTTAATTTTGCGGTCGGTGAATTATAAATTATTCGGTATTATTCGGTAGGAATTATTCGCATGTTGTTATTTTCATGGTCGGGGACGCGTTCGCGAAATTCATGAAAATTAAACCACCGCGAAATATACAGCGTATACAGTAACAGATTCTACCCCATATTAGCATACATTCTAACCTATTATGTTTATGTACATTTCTATAGGATATAAACTGCAAATTACAAATGGGAAATTTCCAATTTGTAAAATTATAGTAGACTAGCATTGACAGGTGACAGTAGTGTTTTTGACTGGTTTCTGCTGCAGTTCTCTGTCTTTCTCTCTGCAATAACCATATATATATATATATATATATATATATATATATATATATATAATCTGATATTCTTGCCTTGCCTCATAGGTGCGCTCCACGGAGAATCACGTCAGCCAGGACCGCAAGCACAACATCGGTTTCCTCGGCAACGCCAAGCGCTTCAACGTTGCCGTGACGCGCGCGCAGGCTCTTCTCATCGTCGTCGGCAACCCGCACGTACTCGCGCAGGTGTGTCCCCCGCTGACAGTCACTCGCGCGTTCGCCCGCAGCACTACTCAGTAGACGGATTTGCCATGTGTCCACAGTTTTTGTCTCGGATGTTTCAGAGTGCATGGCATGACATGCATCCTAAAAGGGGGCAGCTGCCCCTCCCCTAGATTTTGGACCAAAACTAAAAAATAAGCTTAGCTAATAATCGTAAATAACCCAAACGTGATTTTTTTTGGTAACTTATCCGTGAAAGCCTTGTCTCAGACCCACCACTACCACACTATGGACGTCGATCAAGAACTGCGCCCGTCGCTCATCATTACACAGTTGAGTCATGAAATTTTGCCCACCTTAGGAATTTGCTCAGCCTACGGCCCTGCACGCGCTCGTGTGCTTGCAGCAATCGTCTGCTAACATGTGTTTGTTGTCTCGCAGGACAAGCACTGGCGACAGCTGCTGGTCTATAGTGTAGAGAACAACGCTTACACGGGCTGTGACCTTCCCTACGATCTACAACCACCTGTCCTCTCTGACGTAAACGACCAGGAGAAGGTAGAGGAGAGAAATAAGGATGTAGAGCAAGGTGAGGAGAAAGTAGAGGAAAGAAATAAGGGGAAGATAGAGAAGGGATGTCAGAAGAAGGTAGAGGAGGGATGTCAGAAGAAGGTAGAGGAGGGAAATCAAAAGAAGGTAAAGATGGGAAGTCAGAAGGTGGAGGAGGGAAATAAGAAGAAGCTAGAGATAATAAACGAGGAGAACGTAGAAGGAAGAGATAAGGAGAAGTTAGAGGAGAGAGGCCAGGGGATGGTAGAGGAGAGAGGCCAGGAGAAGGTAGAAGAGAGAGGCCAGGAGAAGGTAGAAGAGAA